TGTTCTCTTGTAGGCCTTTTCCTTATCATCTTATGCCACATAGATTCTAAATCTCTGGTTTTCAAACAGATGCCCCCCCCCGCCCTTCAGCCTTTCTGTTATTGTGGGATGTAGTGTAACACAACCCATTCACACTGGGAGAAGTTCTTGGGTTGGCCATAGGACACCATGGCCATAGCTGAAGTGGGCCAACATTTTCCTAAAATTTCCACACCCACCACTGCTTTTCCAGTTTCTCTGCTCTATACCACACTCCCTCCTTGTCTATAGACACAAAAGAGACAGGCTGGTGCTGCTCTAGATGCTCCCTGATAATGCTCAGCATAATCCTGCAGTCATGCGGGAACTGTTTCTCTTACTGACTCTATACCCCACAATGTTATGTTCTGTTGCCATATTACCATGGTGAGATTGCACAATCACCAGCTGGGATTGGTGGGATCCATTTTCAGCTTGGACAATGAACCATCTGTGGATTGTTGCAATAACCTGCTACCCCAATGGCACATTGCTATGCCAGCACCACCCAAAACTGGTAAGACAGAGGGGTTAGTGTCATGTGGCATCTGGATACTGGCACACTAACACAGAGGTGGAACATAATTTGGGAGGACTGATAAAGAAGCCATGAATAACGCAAATGGATAAAACACCTCCTTGGCTGGCTGGATAATACGGTGAATTATATATCTGGCTGTGGAGCCAAAGGTTGAGAATTGGTTTCCCCCTGTGCTACCATAGACAAGAGCCAGCCTGTGTAGCCTTGGGCAAACTGCACAATCCCAAAGAGCCCCAAGACAAAGGGAAAGGTGAACTAGTTTGAATATTCTATATCTAGAAGACCCTGTGAGGCGTTGTCATAAGTAAAAATTTACTTGGCAGCATGTAATTATTATTAAGTTTTATTAATTAGGCCCTGGATACCTCCTGTAATTATTATTAAGTTTTATTAATTAGGTCCTGGATACCTCCTTGGATAGAGGCGCGCGCGCACACACACACACACACATGTATATACACATATACATATGCATATACATATATACACGTACATACATGTGTGTTTGTGTGTACGTATAAAAAAGTAAAGTGTGTGTGCATATATACATATATACATATATATATACACGGACGTGTGTGTGTGTGTACGTATAAAAAAGTAAAGGTAAAGTGTGTGTGTGTGTGTATACACACATACATACACATACTTATATGTGTATGTATATGTACCGTCATATATGAATATATATTCACATATATTCACATATGTACTGTCATGTACCGTCCACATTAAAGTGTGTGTGTATGTGTGTATACACAGTACACACACTTTAATGTGGAATACATGCATCAGCATTAGGCACCAGAAGCAGAAATTAGAACACAGGAGGAAAAAGAAGATTGTCTTTGAAAGACACATCACTTGACTGCAAAAATGAACACACCCACCACTGTCATGAAAGCCGATGGGATGGAAATTTTAAAAAAGGGGTAACAGTTTTTCATGTCACTTTTTGCCAGTTTTACTCTGAAATAGTGGGGAGAACTACTCAATCTCAAATTGACTAACATATAATATCAGGATAAGGTGTGCATCATATGGATAAGGAACCTCCATACAAGAGCCAGAAGTTTAATATGAACTGTAGAAAGCAGTGGCAACTGTATTTCAGTACGAGCAGGGCCCACTGCACAAGGATTCAAACAAGTCAGAATTTTAAGAGATAAATATTCAAATCCATGGTCCTGGAGGAGTGAATTTGTCAGTAATGGTTTCTCCTACATTTTTTTAAAACAATCCCAAATTCTCTTCAAATGACTTTCCTGAATATGAAGACTTTTGCAATGAGTCTAGTAAATTCTGTAATGAATGAACTAAAATAAAATTCTCACCAATCACTGGGACAGGCTGTAAGGTAGCAAGCTGCAGGCAAGGGGGAAATCAGCCAAACATCCATTCAACAGGATGGAGTTTGATGATGACAATGACACCCTCCTAAACTGGGGTAAATTCTGCTTCCAATTTGTTTAAAATGGCCAACACCCCTTTCCCCTTCTAAGATCAGAGCACTGCTCTCAAACCAAGTTGTTTAAAATGTGCAATTAATACTTCTAAAGAAGCAGTAGCCAGTCATTCCCGGGAACAATCTGACACATGACACTATTGGAAAATTGACAAGAGGGCTTTCCAGCTGCATGGTACATCTGACAGAGATTTCTCTTGAAAGCACATCACACATCAAGCAGGTATTTTTGATTGGGGTGTAGCAGGCACCATGCAAGCAAACTTACACACACACTCTAACATGGAATTGCAGCTACTTAAACCAGGGCTCTGCATAAGAGTAAGCAACTTATCAACCTCACCAGTGGTGGACCTTAGAGCATTTAATCCCCATTTGTTGCCAATCTATGTCATGCATCTCTTAGTCAACAATATGCCCTGGAAAGCTGTTTACCTACAAGACTCAGGGGCAATTCAAACACTTGCTTGGAATCAATTACTTGCATTAAATGCTTGCCTTTCAATCAACAGTGAATGGAACAGAAAGGATCAGGTTAGCAAAATTAGTTTAACCATGTAATATTGTACATAATTGTTAGGGGAGAAAATCATCCTAGGGGAACTCCTTCTTCAAAGAGTTGGCCTGCATTTGTCACAAGGGGAGACTAAGATAAGGGAATTAGCCAGCCCTTTACATCTTATCTGCAGTCTGAGAATACACTAAGAGCCCCAGATCAATTGCAGACTGTGCTTACAAATAAATGATTAGATTTCAGCTTTACACGTCATCCAAGTCTACAATTAGATCTTGGCTTAAACAGATCTACCCTCTAGCTTCTCAGGAACTGTTGCAAACTTGCATTTTATTCCAAACAGAAGCAACTCCCGTTCTCACCAGAGACCCTTGCACCTACCAGGGCTGAAGTGTGTTATTTCAAATCTGTCTCCCACAGCCAGCCCTGCATACTCTTTTCCAACGCTAACACCTACCATTCATGACTCTTCAGGCATTTACTCATGAAGGGAAAGTTACGAGGCTAAAATGAATTATTATGCGAACGCAGAAGGTGGTTAGGGCAAGAGGCAGAAACCTGCATGCATGCACATAAAGAGAGTAGAGAAGACCTTTCTCAGTAGGGCGGGTGTATAAGAAAAACGGAGTATGTGTTCTAATCAAGTAGCTTTGCATTCAAGCTACAAGTGTAGGAACTACGGTATTAAGGAAAAAAGAGGCAGAGACTGCTTGTATGTAATTCAATGGATGAGCGCTGGATAAGAGTTTACTTGGGCATAACATCATCAGAAACAAACACCCAAAGAAGAATAAGTGAATTGCCGATTGTTTGTTGGACATGGAATGTAAATCAGGATTAAAGGTTTTAGTGAGAAGGAGCCACAACAGCAGCAACAACAACAACAACAAACTGAGAAGTTGTCGCAAATGTATGAAACAGTGGCACACAAAATAACAGATGGACTCTTACTCTGAAGGCTACACTTTTCCTCAAGGCAGTGCACTTTCTTGAAAGAATGCTGGATAAGATTCCTTTTATGTAGAAGGAACAGCAAGTGGCCAGCAAATGTACAGCAAAAACAATTAATAGGCACCCATGGCTTTGACCAGGCAAAAACTGGTGCAGCCCATCTGCCTGCTCACCATTTTTTCTAGGTGATACAGCATTTTTCTTTCTTTCTTTCTTTCTTTCTTTCTTTCTTTCTTTCTTTCTTTCTTTCTTTCTCTAGCTATCTATTTATTGCATTTCTATCCTATCTCTCCCCACCCTATCCCACTCAAGGTTACACTATTGTTGTTATATTATGGGCTGTCAATTCAGAGCGGACTTACAGCAACCCTAACAGGGCTTTCAAGGTAAGAGAGAGACTTGAGGAGAGGTTTTACCATTTCCACTCCCCCCACTGAGTTTCCGTGGCCGTGCGAGGGTTCGAACCCTGTTCTCCCGCGTCCTAGTCCTCCGCTGTATCCACTACACTTCACGGTTACCTAGTCCTGCTTAATTTTTCTTTCTTTTAACAATGAACCTAGGAGGTAGTTTTGAGGGGGGGGCGAGAGAAAAAGAGAGACGGACGGAAGGTCGTTCAGTGAGCTCCATGGCCAAGTGGAGACTTTGAATCCGGGCCTCACGGATCCCTTAGTGAGTCCATTAGTGGCCCACCCTTCTAATCCAGGCACAAGGTTAGGAGGCGAGGGGAAGAGCAGCCATTCCCGCCTCACTCATGCTCTCCTTCTGGGGAGTGAGGTGGCGCGGACTGCACACAAATCGCCCCGTCCTCCCCACCCAGAAAAAAGTCGCTTCTGCAGAGAAGACGCCGAGCTTCTTTCTTGTCTCCTTCTCCACGCAACGCCAAAAGATGGGCGCTCCTTTCTCCGATGGTCCGCCCACCCTCTCCCTCTGAAAGTCACTCTCGCTGCTCGGTTCCAGCCATCATCCCCTGCTGCCTCAGGAGGAACAACCAAAGTCACCCGTCCCTCTTCCCCACCTCCAGCCAAAGGGCCCGATCCCCAAGGCCAAACAAGTTCATCTCGGACTCCAGCAGAAAATCCCACCCTTTGCTCTCTCTCTTTTTCTCCCTGGCAGCACAAACGCCAGAGCAGCCAAAGGCATCCACAGCGCGAGGTTGCCCCTGAACGGCTCTCGGAACATCCCCTTCCCCTCAGGGTGGCTTTCCCAGTTTGCCAGCTAATGGGAGGGCCGGCTCTCTGCATGGAAGCCATGGGGGGGTGTGGGTGTGTGAGGTTTATGCAGGGACGAAGGGGCAAAAATCACCTCTGGCTGTTGGATGGCCCTCCCCGACGGAACGGAGCGGTGCCCAGGACTCTGCCCTCCTGCCTGCCCGTCCCCACCAACAGCGCCCCTTCTCCCTCGTGGCGGACACCCGAGAAGAGGGGGCTCGGTCCGCCTCAGCGCCGCCGCCGGCCCTTGCCCGCTCTTTGAGTCCGTCGCTCGCTCCCTCACTCCCTCCCTCCTTCACTCACCACAGCCGACGCCCGCGTCTCAGTGGCCTGCCCACATGCCCGGCATTCGCCCCGCCGCTCCTCAGTGGCCCCTTGCCGGACGGTGCGCCGCGGAGCCGGGCGGAGTAGCTTTGACGGCGGCTCCGGCGAAATAAGTGGTAGTTTGGCGGCGGCGTGGGCGGCGGCTCCCTGCTTCTCCTGACTCCGAGGGAGGGAAGACGGGCAGAGGGTGGGAAGCCCTGGCGGGACCGAGGCGCCCTCCTTTGGCCGAGGCGTTTTGGACCGCTCGGCCCTTTTGCAGCAAAGGCGCTTTTCTGAGGCGCTGCCTTCGAGCTGCTGCTGTTGCTGCTGCTTCTCGGCGCGCCCGTGCGCGCTTTTGGTCGGCTCGGGTTGAAGTGTTCTACGCAAGAGGCGGCGGAGTTTTTGTGTTTTCTGAACTTGGCAGCGATGCCTGGAAGCGGAGTTTGCTCGAGTTCAGGAAGACGCCCTCCTCTCGAAAGGGACAATCGAGCCGCTGGAAGCGTCTCTCTCTCTCTGTTCTGCTGCTGCCCAAAAAGGGAGGGTCCTCAGCAGCACCTCTGGCCACTCTGTAGTGCCCACTTGTTGGCAGGCTCAGCCACCCCTCTCTCTTTTTTTGTGACAAGGAATCCAGCTGCAGGTTCCTCCTGGCTCCCAGCTTTCGGTCCCCAGATGTTCTTGGACTACAACTCCCCAAAGCCTTCCCTGCTAGGTCTGCTAGCCAAGATTTCTGGGAGTTGTAGTCCACAAACATGTGAGGGGCCCAAGGTACAAGATTTCTGGGAGTTGTAGTCCACAAACGTGAGGTGGGGAACCACTCTTCCCTATCTCAGGAGAAGGTTCACAGTAGTGCTCAGAGGGATAAGCTCTGGGAAGCCTTGGGGCAAAGGGCATGACCCTCCCTCCCTCCCTCCCTGAGTTCCACCTAAGAAACTTCCGGATAGCTGGATGAATTTTTTTCTCAACCCTCGAGCAATAATGAAACACCGTCTTCTACAACTCTTGAGGGCACGCTAGCTTGAGGAGGCACAGGCAGTGCTGTAACCAACAATTTTGGTGCCCAGGGCTTCAGCGCCCTATTGGTTATGTTTGGGTCATGTGGGATTGGCATACTGTGAGGAGCAGATGGAGGAATGGGGAGGAACAGCTGGAGTTGAGTCACCATTTTGGTTTCTTTCTGACGTTGTCTTTCGTGTCTCCTGCCAAGGGAAGAGAGGCTGGATCCAGGGCACCTGCTCAGGGTAGGGAGACATCTCATGCCAGAAGCAAACACTCTGCAGCCAGCTTGGGTGCCCAGGGTCAAATTTCTGGCCAAAGGGCAGGTAGTGATCCACCCCACCGTTCTCTTCTTCAACACAGTGCTGCTGCCTTGCAATATGGGCTGCCTGAGGTAACTGCTCAAGACTTGTGAACGTTTACTGTAGCTCACTAGATTGCTTTATTATGAACTGCTAGGTGGCTCAATGGTTTAGGTGTCTAGCTTCAGAGCCACAGGTTGGGAGTTCAATTCCCCACGGTGCTTCCTTGATAGGGGCTGGGCCTGATGATCCATAGGGCTTCTTCTAGCGCTAAGGTTATTATTACTATGTCCCGTCTTTTATCTAATGAGTTCAAGGAACAGGTATAATTCCCCTCCTCCACACTTTATCCTTGTAATATTAACCCTGTAGGGTACATCTGAGAAAGATTGATTTGATGAAGATTACCCAGCAAGTTTCATGGCTTAAGTGGGGAACTGAACCTAAATGTTCCAGACCCAACCCTCCAACTGCTATAGAATACAGGCCATGCTGGCTGGGGGATTCTGGGAGTTGTAGTTAAAAAAAATCACTTTTGCCAGCTCTCCCCACCGTTCTCTTCTTCAACACAGTGCTGCTGCCTTGCAATATGGGCTGCCTGAGGTAACTGCTCAAGACTTGTGAACGTTTACTGTAGCTCACTAGATTGCTTTATTATGAACTGCTAGGTGGCTCAATGGTTTAGGTGTCTAGCTTCAGAGCCACAGGTTGGGAGTTCAATTCCCCACGGTGCTTCCTTCATGGGGGCTGGGCCTGATGATCCATAGGGCTTCTTCTAGCGCTAAGGTTATTATTACTATGTCCCATATTTTATCTAATGAGCTCAAGGAACAGGTATAATTCCCCTCCTCCACACTTTATCCTTGTAACATTAACCTTATAGGGTACATCAGGCTGAGAAAGAATGATTTGATGAAGATTACCCAGCAAGTTTCATGGCTCAAGTGGGGAACTGAACCTAAATGTTCCAGACCCAACCCTCCAACTGCTATAGAATACAGGCCATGCTGGCTGGGGGATTCTGGGAGTTGTAGTTAAAAAAAATCACTTTTGCCAGCTCTGCAACCAACTCACTTTGCTTAAGGCTTGTCCTAAAACAATCCAGGGTACATAAACAGAGCTCCAGCAAAGAGAAGCATAGATAGCTCTTCCACCACCAAGCCATCTTGCTTCACCAATCCCTTAACACACATACACACACTTGCGTCATATAAGAGACACCCCAACACATCAGGTCCTTTTAAGTGACTTGGCTGCTTCAAGCAGCACATTTTGGGTTTTATGAGACAATAATAAATTATTAGCTATTTAATTCACTTTCATGGTATTTGGATGGTCAAGGACAGTGAGAGTCATTTGTACATTTTCTGCCTTGTGCAAAAATAACTTGTCTGGCTTTGGATATTATGCACCTTGACTTGCTTGTTACAAGATGCATGAGTGGTTGCTGAGCTTCAGTCAGCAAACGGACCTGGCTTTGTTCTTGTGAGAGACAGGATAACAGAAGTTAAGAAAGTCAAAGCACACTCTTTAATTTACAAGACAACTTCTAACAATATCTGCTCATGCCATGGCCGTATCTGGACTGATATCTATTAATTTGTATTCTTTATGTTTGTCTTTGTCTTTCCTTTACCCACTCTCATCCATGTAGCTAGCTTGTTTCCCCGAATATAAGACCTAACCTGAAAATAAGCCCTAGTAGGATTTTTCAGGATGCTCGTAATATAAGCCCTACCCCAAAAATAAGCCCTAGTTAAGTGAAACCCCACCCTCCACCATTGTGCAGCAACCAGAAGATGATATGACTGTATTTGAATAAATGTAGATTGTTGGACATGAAAAATAAAATAAAACATCCCCTGAAAATAAGCCCTACTGCATTTTTGGAGCAAAAATTAATATAAGACCCTGTCTTATTTTCAGGGAAACACGGTAGCTAACCCTTTCTTCTACTCTCTCCTTCATCAACTCTAAAGCCATTTCTGTTTTCTAATTTATTTTCCGTTTGTTTCTTTCTTTCAGAAAGATATGGTCCCAAGGTAAATTAAATTATTATTCTCATAGAGTGTGAATAAAGGAAAGGAAATGAGTGCCCATTCTGAGAACTCTTTGTAAGTGGTCATAATAATGTTTCCCTCTATTAGGAGACAGATCTCAATATTAGTTTATCAAGTCATACTGATTTGTTGTGTTTTTTTGATCATGAACTGAATCGACAGTTGAACATAGTGCCAGACTTCTTGGCTTTTTCTTTTCTTTTTGAAAAGCTCCAAAACTAAAAAGCTGACAATGCAACTTGATGTATCTTACTTCTCCATTTCATTTTTTTTGTAAAGACAAGTGTGAGAGAAATGGAGCAGCATTTTCAGTAAAGCATTTATTTCCAGCACTTATGGAATATAGCAGAAACATTAATCTATCTTGCCCATAAACAGCCAACACAATCAACGAAAGCAGAGGCTTTGTCATCTCTTTTCAAAAATCCAATTAGTAAGCACTAAAGAAATTGTCAGAATATTGACCATGTAGGGGGAAATACTCATTGAATGGGTTTTGAACAGGATGGTAAATCCTAATGAGAGTTTTTTTTCTCTTCAACAGGAGATGGTGGTTTAGGATTTTTATGGAGGTGGTATCCATCTTAGACAGATTTTGCTCATTCTTGAGACTACTTTTGGTGCAGTACTAGAAAATATGATAACAGTTGTTTTATTGCATGAACAAGTAAAAATGGCAACACTTGTATTGGTGGGGGGTTGTCTTTGAGACACATCAGCCTGTCCATTTGTGCTTGCTCTATGTTTAGGCTTAGCTTCACCAGCAGATAAGAATGATGGGTATTAGAGTCTAAGCTAGCCATTCTCAACATTTTTAGGCCACAGCCATAAACACAGGCTGAATCAGGATTGTGTAAGTCACATACCGCACTGGTGAGGCTGCACTTGGAGTGCTGTGTCCAGTTCTTGGAAGGGGTGCAGAGAGGAGCAACAAAGATGATAAGGGGACTGGAGGCTCAGTTTTATGAAGAATAACTAAAAGAACTAGGTAAGTTTAGCTTAACAAAGAGAAGACTGAGGGGAGACATGATAGCAGTCTTCCAATATCTGAAAGGTTGCCACAGGAAAGAGGGCATTAATTTATTCTCCATTGCGCCTGAGGTAGGATAAGAACCAATAGGTAGAAACTCATCAGAGGGAGCTTCAACCTTGAAATGAGGAATTTTTGTGATGGCGAGAACCATTAAGCAGTGGAACAGCTTACCTCCCAGAGTTGTGGGTGCCCCATTGCTGGAGGTTTTCAAGAAAAGGCTGGGCAGCCATCTTGGGCAGGGGGTTGGACTACAAGTCCCCCAAGGTCCCTTCCAACCCTACGATGATTCTATGACATAGCAAACCTAAAGTTATATGTGACGAATTGTTTCCAGTATATGGCCCTGGTTGAAAATGGCTGACCTTCTGGAAAGCACTAACTGGTAGAAGACTGATTCAGGTCATTACTGGCTACCCTGCAGGAACTTATGTGTGCCTATGTTGTTAGAAGTTGTGTAGTGTCTAAGCAGCACATCTGTGTTTACTATAGGATCATTATATCTGCTTCTGAAATCTACAGCAAGAGCATGCGAATAAAGGAAATACTGTACCGCAAATATGTTTTAGAGCAAATTATGTGGAGAAATGATACATTTGACTATTGGCATGTAGGACATTTAATAAAGTGTCTTAAACATCCCAATTGGAGATGGGGTATTCGTATTTGTATACAAATATGAATACCCCCACACAGGTGGATATAACCCTGCTGCCACTGGTTGGCGCTCTCTTCCAATCGCTCCAGAGCTCGCGGTCAACTAGCCACTAGTCAACCTGGCAGGGAGGCTCATCTTCCCTCCTTCTACCAGGAGTGGCTAGTCAACCGTGAGCTCAGGAGCGATTGAAAGAGAGCACGGAGCTGTGGCAGCAACTGATGGGTGAGTGGACAGTTATGTCCACCTGTG